GGGTGGGCCCTGGTCCAGTGTGACTGTTGTCCACATAGAGGAGGTCAGGACAGACTCCATGGCTTTTGTGAAATCCCTGGGAAAGGCATGCTTCACGCTGTGTCCCACACAGGACCTGGGGCCTGGCTTGCACTTTGTAGCCCGCACAGTAGGACCACACACCACAGGGCCCCGGCGCTCTGAGGGGTGAGGAAGGCACACCCTGCCTGCAGGAGGGAGCGGTGGGTGCGCCGATGGTGGGTGCTGCAAGGGGTCCCATCTTGGTGCTGGATGGCGCTCTTGCAGAAGGCGGTGCAGACACACAGCCTTCCGGGCCGGGTGACAGCGTGACTGCGGGCGGCGGCCTGTCCCAGCGTCTGCGAGCCTGCAGGGGCCCAGGCGCCCCCGTTGCCACCCACGGGTCGGGGGCCCTAACGGGAAAGGCCAGGGCCTCCCACTCCCCTCCCTCTGCCTTCCCGAGCTCCTTTGACACTGTCTGCTCAGGTCCCAGGGGACCAGACCCCACCTGCCCTGCCCGCCTCCGCTCTTGAGCGAGCCCGCAGTCTCTTGCTCCCGCACGTTCCTCTTCTGGTGTGTTCAGTGTGTCACGGTTTCTCTGCACCTTTGAGCACCCACCCGGCTTGGGCTTGTCCGAGTCCCTCATCCTGGTGGCCTGTGGTCAGCGCTGCCCTGATTGCATGGCCCTGGCCTGCGTGGCAGCCTTTCCAGCACCCCCCTGCTCCCCAGGGCCTCTGAAGGGGCCACTGGGTCCACAGGCTTCTTGGGAATGTTTCTTCCCAGCTGCCCAGCCGCCCTCAGAGCCGGCTCCCCAGGGGAGGAGGGTGTTGGGCGGGAGCTGTCTGTGCTCACGCGTGGCCATGGCCACTGAGACCCGGCTGAGGGCAGGACCCCAGCTGCGTTCCCGGCTGAGCGGGTTTCTTCCCGCCGCACCCACAAGGCTTGCGCAGCTTCCCTCGGGCAGGGCATGGTCCGCGCTCCGCACAGGTGCCCGTGTGAGGCGCAGGGCAGGGCCCAGGTCCACACATCTGCTTGGTCTGCCATCTTTTTGAATCTTGCTTTAGGGACCCTCCAGCTGGCCTGAAGTGTGCAGTCCCGGGCCCTGTCACCCTGGACACTGGGGACACCGGGCGCTTTCGGGCTGAGCCTCGCCTCGCGGCTTGTGGACGAGAGCACGTCCCACGGGAGTGTCTGGAGATTGCGTCCTTCCGAGCAACCGAGTCCTGTTAGTCGACTCAGTGTGGGCACTGCCATCAGCAGAGGAGGCCAGACTTGACTGTCGCCGGCTCAGCAGGGCCGCGCACGTCCCTCAGCCAGGGGATCTGGGCTCTGTTCCTCTGGGGCTGTGAGCTCGCTGACGTAGGCCGCTCGTTCGCCGGAGCTCCCGGGGGTGTGGGGACGTGGGCATGATGGAGGTCACTCCTGTCCTGGAGGAGCCTGGTGGGAGCGGGGGACAGAGCAGACAAGTAGGACATGGTGGGGGCGACACGTCCGTGACACAGGCCAGGAGGGAGCCGTGGTGGTGCGGCAGCCGCCTGTCACCCGTCCTCGGTGCCCATGCCCAGAGCCTGGCCCCTCATGCTGGGGGGGTCTGGTCCTGGCACTGTCTTTCCTGAGGTGAGGGCCTCAGTGATGCGCCCAGTGTGTCTGTGCCTCGGGAGCGGTCGGGGTGTGCGGGCCCTGGCGGGGGCATTGGCCCTTCCTTACCCGGTCGGATTCCTCACCACCTGCCATGCTTTCAGGCACCAGCTTGGTGAGTGACCCCGATGGGCAGGGGACCCGAGGGCTTCCCCTTCCCTCTAGAAGGGCCCGCTCCAGAGCCTGGCCCAGGTGCCTCATGGTCCCCGAGACCCCCTCCTGCCTCAGTTGTGCAGACGTCCTGAGCAGCTGCCCAGCTCTGGGCTCTGCAGGCCCTTCCTCCCGTCATCTGTCTGTTCCTGGGTGCTCAGTTCTGTGTCTCCCAAGGCTCAGCTCGAGTGCCCGTCTGTGACTCCTGCCTTGTGCTCTCCGAGCTGCCTGAGCTGTCCCTGTCACACTGTGACGCACACTCTCTACCTGGCTGGGTCTTTTTAAAAAGTAAATTTAAAAAAATCCTCACCTGACCGGGACTCTGACCCACAGCCTAGCCGTGCCCTCACTGGGTCTGGAACTGCCACCTCCTGGCGTAGGGACGACGTTCCCGCCCTCTGGACACCTGGCCTGCCCGGCTGGATCTTATTTGCAGACGTGGCCATGGGAGCACCATCTCCCTGCAGATGCCCCTGCTCAGCGAATAGCAGTGACACAGCCAGTCGGTGCAGGTGGAGAGTCAGTGGGACCAAGCGGGGCGGGCCTGCCTCAGCCTCCCCCCTGCCCTGTGTTCTTCTGCACAGAAAGTGCTCCATCCGCGTTAACAGCAGTGTCAGTGTTTCAATAGACAGCATTGCTGTTAACCAACACTCCCGTCACAGCCACGTCAGGACCAAAGATCCAGGCAGCGGGCCTCACAGCTGCAGCAGCTTCCCCACTCGCTCCCGCCCCGTGACACCCGGGACCGTGGCGGTGGTCAGTCTGCACCTGCAGGTGGACAGTGTTTATAGCTGGATTAAACATTCCGCCGCGAGTCCCATTTCATCACAGTGCCAGTTGCTCTGCTGAGCCGGAGTTCTATGAATTTACAGCCTTGGACGGTGGCCGCTCTCCCCAGCAGGACTGTCTCTGTGGACCTGAAGTCCGTGTGATTAAGGGCTCACCGCCCCGTCACGAGCTGCCAGGTGCCCACCTTCAACTCCTCGCGGGGGGCGTGCGGGAGACGCGGCTGCGGACGGTTCTGGCTGCTGGTTCTGGCTGCTCTTCCACAGGCGCTGGCTCCGAGCGCTGTGCCCGCGGCGTGTCCTGGAAGCCCTCGAGGTCCGGGGCACGGCTTACCCTGGTGGTCCCGGTCCCAGCAGCCATCGGCTCACCACGAGGGGACGTCGCTGTGCCAGGCCTCGTCCCTACCAGACCCTGCCAGACCCTGCTCCCAGTGAGGTGCTCCTCCGCGGGCCACCTGGTCCTGGGCAGCGAGCCCCCTCGGGCGACCCGGCGCTCGGGGGCAGCTGTGCTCACAGGCGCTATTGCCACGTGACGGGGGAGCGGGGGGGGAGATGGGGGGATTGTTCTTTCATTGGCGAAGTCATACTGTCTAGACTTGTGTCTGCCCAGGGAGCTCAGTGGGCGCTGGCTCGTGCTGCCCTGTCTCAGGCGCAGTGAGACCCAGGCAGAGGGCGTGGCTCTGATTTCAGGGGAAGGTTGGCACCTGGCTGTGCCCTTCCTGGCCAGTGCCCAGCTGCAGCCTTGCCTGTCGGCTACTCAGCAAGGTTCAGATGAGTGGCCCGCAGGAGGCGGCACCCAGAACGTGGAAGCTGCGCTCTGCCCGTCGGCGGCAGCTGTGCCCCCATCTGGGCCTCTCCTGGGCCTCTGCGCTCATCACCACGCGCCTCGGTGCTGGCCCGCCGGCTGCCTGCTCCTGTCCCCACCGCCTGCTCCTGCCTTTCTGCTTTTTCAAATCGCCGGGCAGGCCTCTGAGTAAACGCCTTCACTGCATCACATCGGAGAGTAGCAAGTGGCCCACGTGAGAAATGACACCTCCAACAGACCGCCCACATTCCTGTGGACAAAATAACGAGCCAGCTACACATGCGGAGAAATCAGCGCGGCTCCCGCCGCCTGGGAGCAGCCGCGTCCCGCGGACCTGGCCGTGGGCCCCGCCCCTGTGCACCAGGCGGTCGCGTCCTGGACGGCTCTTCTCCGCGTTTACCTTTCATCTCGGGAAGGAGGCATCTGAGAGCCTTGAAGGGCCTCGGGGGAGAAGAGTGGGCGGAAAGGGCCTCTGAAGAGGCTTCTGTGATTGCTGTTGACTCAGCGCTGGAGTTGGGAAGTCACCCAGCTGCTCCCGTGGGTGGGGTGTGGATTAAGTTGCAGGAACTCTTCCCAGCGAGGCCACCCCCTCAGGAGGCCATTTCTACCATCTGTGACCTGGCTCTGGCCCAGGAAAAGCCTTATGCTGCTCCTGCTGGGGGGGTGGGGTCTGGTGGGTGGGGGAGGCCCAGGTGCCTCTGGGAGACTCCAGCCCACAGCTGTGATCGGGGAGCTCCCTCCTTCCACCGAGGCTGCGGGCGGCCTGCGGGCGGCGGAGCACACAGCCTGGGTCTGAGATGGGCCCCCTCTCCCGTCCCCCAGCTTCACATCCCCGGGACTCTGACACTTAACATTTATGTTTTCAATTTTAAAGTTGTTTTCCTTGCAAAGATGCCTTGCACAATTGCAAAGTAAAACAAAAGCAAATTAAAAACAGGATACACCATTTTTAGGTTCTTGTGAGTGTCATGCGGCTGGCGGCTTCTTTACGAGGGTCTGAAGTCAGTTTGTCCGAATGTCCGCTAGCATTTCAGCGAGGCGTCTGTGTTGCGTCTTTTGACCTTAATGGTGTTTCCTCATTAGGTTTTCCCACTCGAGGGACATCGTGGGTCTCGTAGCCCCTCAGACGCCTGCGCGGCTGCCTTCTTGGATCTTTGCTTGTCAATCGGGGATTTACCTGCCGTGGCTTTGAAACCTCTCACCTTGGAAATGGTTTTAGAGGATTATCACTGAGCGCGTGTGGAGTATCTTAGAATCAGGACTTTAAAGTGTTACCGAGAACTTCCAGACCCGTTAGTTATAAGTAATTCATGTAGGTTTTCTCTTATTAGAGTGTGCATTGCTTGAGAAGCAATCATTTACAACATATTAATTATGCTAATTAATTGGAAAGGATTCAGAATATTCATTATCTGCGTCTGATTAGGTATTGAAATTGAGAAGCACTAAGTGATGAGGTGGAAGAGACATGAGTCACCTCCTTAGATCAAGAGAAATGGGCCCGGAGAGGTGACCGCAGAGCAGCCTCCTCCGCGCCTGTGTGTCCCGGGTCTATGTCCCGTGTCTTTGTCCGTGTCCTGTGTCGTGGTCCCCGGCTAACTCCGTGTCTTTCCCATGCTCTGCAGAGGAGGAGGACGTGGACATCGCCGATGTGTCCCGCGTGCCTGTGGACGTGCTGCGCAACGTGGAGGCCGACACGTACTGGTGCATGAGCCGGCTGCTGGATGGCATCCAGGTGAGCCAGGCCGCGGGCGCGCCCTCCTCCGTCGGCAAAATGCACAGGCCTCCTCCAGGCCTCACTGCCCCATGTAGGGGTCCGCAGGGAGAGGCCGAAAGTGTGCACAGGGAGGGGCTCGGTGGAGGAAGCCGGGATGACAGGCCGGGGACGGGGGCCATGTGTGGATGCTGCAGGGCGTCCCTCAGGTACAGCGTGTGTGTCAGCCACTGCAGATGTGCCCGCAGGGAGAGCAGGGACAGCCTGTCACAGACGCCAGGGCACAGGGAGCCCGTGGAGAGGGTCATGCTCCACAGGCCAGCTCCCTGGCGCTCGGGACCCTCCGACACCAGCTGAGACGCTGGAGCCCGGACCAGCCCGGGCCTCATCTCCAGCTCAGCTGGAAGGAGAGGGGTCCAGGGGCTGCTCTGGTGCCGGGGAAGGTGCCTCCAGGCGGCCCCCGGGCCCTGACTGGGCCTGTTGGTGCAGCCAGCATGGCGTGGGCAGAGAGGGTGGACGAGCCGGCCTGCCCCCGCCTCATGTGCGCCGAGTCCTGCTCGGTGGGGAGCGTCTGGGAGCTGGGACCGGAGCCCCGGTCGATACATTGACCGCTCGTGGAAGCACTGCACAGGGTATTAAACAGAGAGCACGTGCCAGGTGCCTGCGCGCAGCAGAGGGTTCATTAAGAATGAGTCATTGAGCAGCAACTTGAAAATGAAAATGGAAAAAGACTCAATTTACAGCAGCATCGAGAAACGTAAAATCCATGCTGCTGCCCCGATGGATAGTTCATTCCCCTTAATTACCGAGCAGCCTCC